TTTAATGATGTCTTCCTGAGATATTCTCAGGGGTAAGCCCAGGCTTGTGTTTTCTGGAAGCATAGACTCCAGTTTGGGAGTCGAATTTCTTGACGATGATGGCGGGTGTGGTTCAGACGTTGTGTCAGCCAATTGTTTGGTCTGGCTTCTTGTCACCGCACATGCAGGATACAGTTCATAATCATTATCTGGAACTGTTGACAAAGGGTCTGAAACCGTACAGGGGTATACTTTGCTTCCCGCAAGGTCATTCCCTAGAAGTAGGTGTACTCCTGGGACAGGAATACTATCTATCACACCTAAAATGACCTCACCTGCGACGAGATGATGTTTCAGGGCAAACTTGTGTAGAGGGACGACAGTAGATTTTGTCCCCACTCCCTGGATAATGGAAATCTTTCCGGTGTTCGTCTCTGGTGTAATGTCCATTGAACTTTTCAAAAGGAGTGATTGTGACGCTCCTGTGTCTCTTAGGACGGTGATATTCCGCTGAGACAACGGATCACCTGGTTTGCTAATGATGGCTTCAGCAATAAAAGATGAAAAGTCAACTTTTCTCGATCCCTCGAGATCGGTAGACTCGGAAGCAACTGGATGGTGGCGAGAACAGTCAAAATGTGACTGCACATAATGTGTGGAGACTTGACTACCTTCTTGCGGACGCTTAGGGTTAGAGTCCTTTAGAATTCTAGAGTTCATAGTTGAACTGGCTGCTTGAGGGGATAGAGCATAGTGCGCGGAAGTACGCACCACCTCTCTGTTATATTGACGACGTTTGTAACAGTCCTTGACAAGATGACCAGGCCTTTTGCAGAACTGGCATACTGCTCGACGATTGAGAGTTGATCTTGGTTTCTCTCTGGACTGTGATGCCTTCAAATGTTGGCCAACAGGATGATTGCTGCCAAAAAGGGGGAGCACGGGGTTGAGGCGGTTTCCTGACACTGGTGGTTTCTTATGCACCAACATATATGTGTCAGCCGACTCAGCAGCCTTCTGGATGTCAGTTATCTTGTTATCCAGAATGTGTAGTCGTATCTCTTCAGGCAGGGACGATAGGAATTCTTCCCTTAGGATAAGTGACCTGAGTTTCTCAAACTCAGAAACTTCCTCAGAGTGTAGCCACCTTGAGAATATTTTCTCCTTTTCAAAGAGAAATTCCACATATGATTGTGTGGGTAACTTGCGGAGTGTTCGGAATTTTGTCCGATAGGCCTCGGGCGTCAGAGCGTAGGCCTTTAAAATGGCAGTCTTGACCAAACTATAGTTATTTTGAACGTCGTGAGAGAGTGCCTGGTATGTCTTTGCAGCTTTCCCAGTAAGGACAGAGCTCAATAAAGCAGTAATGGAAGTTTCGGGCCATTCACATGTCTTCGCTAAACTCTCAAACGAGTTAAAGAAAACGACCAAATCTGTTTCATCAAATTTCGGAACTAATTTCCCAAATTTGGCAATCACTTGCCCTACCGACAACTTTTTTGGATCTACCGGAGAAGTGACATCACTAACTTGACCAAACTCTAATTCCAACCTCCTCTTATCTAAAGCAATTTTGGCCTCTAACTCCTGTTTCTCTAGAGCACTTTTAGTTTCAAACTCCTTTTCTTTTAATAGAAGCTCCCTCTCTTCTATAGATTTCTCCTCGCGGAGCAACACACTAGCTAACAATCTTTCGTCAAATACTCCTTCATTAATGAAATGAACAACAATTTTATCTCTCAACACCTCTGACTTCTGCGTAACAGAATAATCCAATTTCAATTCCTTAACAAGACTAATCAACACTTTTCTACTCAACTTTTCTACACCTTCAAAAGTAGGATTAGCCAAAAAAGACTCCATAACACCAACTTTCAAATCACAACAAGCCTAGATCCTTTAACTTAGCACGGTGAGTTGGGCCGTGTACTTGACCTCTAAATGTAGGACGTGACACGTCTGCTTATTTGACCTAGATACTCTAGCCTGAGCGCGCGTTGTAAGACCACGGCGCTACACTGGATATAAAAACAACTAAATCCAACTAACCTTAGTATTCAACTGATATAACCAACAACTGGAACGACAGATTAAATCCCGGACGAGCCCCCACTTTGTAACGTTAACCTATCTATCAGCCAAATAGAAGGAGAACGTCCCCGGATTCTTTTTTCGGGGTCATATGCAAATACCTTACGGCCTAAGTGGATGAACACTTAACACAACGACCACTAGGGCTCGAATTTAATGTCTAGGGAAGCTAGTGATACTATTGTAATTAACACTCATCCAATCTACATACGACCTTTTAATCAGCGAACTCAATTGAGGCAGAAAACAAAGATGAACTAGATAAAATATTTAATGTATAAAATATCAAAAACCCAACTTACACAATGTAGGAAAAATCACTATCACAGATTTCTACACTGTCTAAAGAACAGCTACAGGCCACACAACAATGCTGTAGCTTCAGGAATTACTTAGCGACAAGTAATATTAAACTAGAAGACTAAATCAACTGAAGAAAGCAAGGCACACACAGGTCTTAAGTACTCTCACGTTCAAATGGTCAGAGTCTATAGCCGGACAAAATGGACGGCTGCCTGACTAAGGTAAAACGGCCTCGTAGACTTTTAGGCCAAGAAAAACTGCCTCGTGTTGCGAGGGTGCAGTGCAATTAAAGACTTCTGTGACAGGGGAGGTTATCCTCAACTCATGTCGCCATTGGTTGGGATAATCATCTGATCAGAATCATTCAATCAGATTTTAATGGAAAATTTCTATGTCTCAAACACCTTAATAAGTCAGTGGAAAAACCCCAGGTGTTACACCATCATTCCATATAAGGAATTATACAATGTCAAAATAAAAATGACCCGACCTAAGTAGGTCACATTCCTCTTCCTCTTTCCATCATGGCTGTAAATAAAGGCTGTTAACAACCAATGTGGCTCCTCGTCAGTGTTTACCAATCTAACACAGACAGTAAAATAATAAACTTCATTTTAATTATAAAAGATAACTATTAATAAAAGACAAAGACAAAAGTAATAAGAAGAAGAATAAGATCTAATAGTAAGCCTAATAATAGTGTTTTAATATTTAGATCTAGAATCTAGCTCTAAACATGGCGTAAACAAAATTCGGACCACAGATCTAGATTCTGGATTTAGGGTGACTGACTCCGCTGGGTAGACATAGAATCTAGAATCTACTTCTTTACTTAAATTTAATTACAAAATTTAGATCTACATTCGATTCAAAATACACCCATAATAAATCAAAAGTAGTCATAATAGGCCTGATAAAGCATTTAATTGTCTCTAAGATCTAAAATCTCGCTCTATAATCTAATCAATTTTTTTAGCAAACGAAATTTTCTGATATTGAAATAGATTGTATGACTAGACTTAGATCTAGAATCTGCTACTTAAATTAAATTGTAAAAACTTTATACAAGCATGTAGTTGATATTACTGTAGTAGAAGGCTTTAATAAATTACTAAGGCCTACCTACTTTGTTGTCTTTTAACAGCAATATGTATCCGATACTGGACTGAGTTTAATTAAATTCAAATTCATATATAGTATATAGTAATTGGTCTACTAAGCTTTTGTAGCCTAGTAGTACAATCTAGATCATACCAGCCAACAACAAATAACCACATTATTATTATTTGGTTAATGATTAGGCTAATTTTTTTTTTAAATCCACTGTTTATAAAAGAAACAAATCAAGCTAGAAACATTATAAGTGAGATGGTTTAGAATAATAACAATGGACCCAGTCTACAATTGATACAATTGCAGGTCTACATAGGGCCTACAGTCTAGTAGTTTACAGTAGGCACCTAGTGTGTAGCTAGTATACTAGTGTGTAGCTGTCCAGAGTTAAGATTCTTAATGCCTTAATGCTTTCCCCTGATAAGCCATGTGTGCTATGAATGACATAACATGACATCGAGGTGAGAAATGATGAGGGGAGAGCAGTGGGACTTTCCCCTTTGTTCTCCCTGCTGGGCCCTGAGGGTCAAAATTATATAAGAAATACTGTCTCTGTGGGGCTGGGTATCACGGAGGTGAGACATTTTCAGGGGAGGGCAGGGCAGACTCCTCTTTGGTTTTATTGTGGGCTAGATACAGGTGGGGGCAGCCATCATGAGGGTTGAACATCAGTATTTATCTGTCTGATCACTTCCCTGCTGGATTATAAGGGTCTTAAATTGTATAACATGCTACCCAGATTGGTTATTACCCATGGATTATATTAGTCGTTGAAGTGTGGGTTTTGTAGAAGTTAAGTGGTCTCACGTTTGCTACAGTAGATAACCTATAATATATTACTGCATTTGATCAGATTCGTCTACTTAAACTCTAAACGCAAACGGTATTACTAACAGTATTTTTATTTAGAAATTTCGGCCACATATTTATATTATTATTATCCACGAAACTGTCAATAACTGTATAAGGATCTTCAATTCCTAAGAGTTCAAGTTTTTTAACGTATTTTTCCTTTTCCGCGGGTGCGGTTCTTTACATACAGTGAACGCGTCCAGCGCTGGTGAACAGCTGATTGTGTTTACGTCTGGTGTACACCACTGTGGCGGCGGGCGTGGGTATCACGTGATTTAGGTCACGTGTTTGCAAGGACTATACTTTTCTATAAGTTAAAAAACGTATGAGTGTTTTTACAATAATATTAAAAATACAGTTATTAATGTTTTACTTACTCTCTACTCGATATTCTCAGCGATTAGACAAAAAAAAATGAATGGCAAGTTCGTGTCAAGCACTAATCTCCACTGTTAGAACTAAATCAGTAACCATTAAAAGTATACGTTTCTGAAATTACCACGAAACAATGTTAAAAAATTAAATCACTGTATCATCGTTTTGGCGGCCATCATTGCCATGACGATGGTAAAAAAAAAATAGTATGCCAAGCGACAGGTAGTTAGGGTTAGCAATTCTAACCCTAACTGTACTGCAAGTTAAATACATCAACAAAAAACATTTTTTTTAACTTTTAATTTTCTGGAGCTGAGTGTATGCTGGCTACAATGATTCTGGAGCTGAGTGTATGCTGGCTACAATGATTCTGGAGCTGAGTGTATGCTGGCTACAATGATTCAGATAGAGAGATTCAGTGTGTTAGGAACATTCTCTGATGAATTTCATTTTTTTTGTCACAGGTTCTGGAGAGTCAGAATTTCCTGCTTTTTCTTCAGATGGCCCCTCTTCTGTTGGCCCCTCTTCTGTTGGCCCCTCTTCAGTTGGCCCCTCTTCAGATGGCCCCTCTTCAGATGGCCCCTCTTCAGATGGCCCCTCTTCTGCCTCAACAGTTTGATCTGCACTAGGTCTGACAACAAGAGCGTCTGTTGCTGAATCATCTTTTGGTTGTACTGAGTCAGTATGATAGCCTAGCCCCAGATGTCCCCTTTTCCCTGCTACAAGTCTGTATTCTAGACTTTGTTCAAACTGCTCCGTCAGTTCTTCAGTCAGGTGCTGCTCTTCCTTTTCTGAAAAAAAAAAATTAGATATTACGGAGTAGGACGAGTAGAGTGGTACCTCACCACATTAGGGATGGATGTAACTAACACCACATTAGGGATGGATGTAACTAACACCACATTAGGGATGGATGTAACTAACACCACATTAGGGATGGATGTAACTAACACCACATTAGGGATGGATGTAACTAACACCACATTAGGGATGGATGTAACTAACACCACATTAGTGGTATACTTAGATGAAATCCTTATGAAAGTTGCGTCAGTTTGGTGTATAGCTCATGCATTGAAACAAGTAAAATTCCCTTTAGAACCTGATGGTCTATGAGTAGGGGTGTCAAACTGATTTTTTAAAACGGTCCCAGAGCTTTTTTTAAAGTTGCTATGTCAAGAACTCAAAATTCTAAGATAGTGGGCACTAAATTTGTTCATATATCTTAAGTAGTTAAAAAAGTTATGACGTTTTAAAAAACTATTTTTTGACTTTTTCCAACACCCTAAAATGTACCATGTTTGAGAGGTTATATCTGTAAAAGTATATGTCAAAAATAAAATCTTTTGAAAACCATGCATCACATTTGCTGATTTTTCTACTTTAAACTATACCCATATATTGTTGATACTGGCGACAAAGTGTACGATCACGTGACCTTTTACATTTAACAGAAAAAAATATTCAGCTATTCTAAAAAAAATTGAAAATTAATTGCAACATAGTTTTCGAAAGTACCCTTTGTCGGAAAAGACAAAAATATTTGAACTAAGCAATCAGAAAAAAATTAGACTCCGATACAAAGTGAAGTGGGGTTTAGCTCATCGTACAAAGCTGAAAAATTACGTGGAAGTCTAATCATTGAACGACGTTATAGCTTTAATATTTAAAATGGTGACCAGAAAGATGCGCAAACGGAAAAAAGCGCACACAGAAAAAAAGCGCAAACAGAAAAAAAAGCACAAACAGAAAAAAGCGCAACCAGAAAAAAGCACAACGAAAAATGCGCAAAGAGAAATTTTAGCACAAAGACCTCTATATGGACTAGATGACACATTTATACATGATTGTTAGGGCTGCTGTGAGAGTGTCGCGTTTGATCACGTGATCTACCACCATTTAAAGCATGCCACTACCATGTGCATTCACATCACCATCATACAGGCGATAATCGCTTTAAACAATGCCTATTATTTTCTAGGTCAACATTTAACTACTATTCTCGTATAAAGAAACATAAAACTATCCTTGATATCGACATTACACGAAGTATCTCTCACATTCTCCCTAGTCCGAACTACCTAGCTTGCATACCATAACAACCCCCTCCTATGGCAAAACTTCACTCTCTTTCATCCGAGTCATCAAACATGCATTCGTCATATCTCTCGCACCAACATTCATTCGCACCAAAATACCCTGCTAAAACACACATCATAAGAATGATGTATTTAATATTATTTCATCATGATGCACCTACCAACCTACCTACCTACCAACCTATCTACATACTTACCTACCTACCTATCTACATACTTACCAACCTACCTACCTACCTAGGGCTAGGACTAGGGTTAGCGTTAGGGCTAGGGCTAGGTTAATGTCCTGTAGCCGTTCAGTACATGCTTTGGTTGGTGTTAGGATTGTTACATATAAGTATTCGCATAGATTTAGAGTACGGAGCCTTTTCTTTACATGTTTTCATTACCCATCAAACTTTAGTCTATTTTAGTTATATTGAGATTAAAGAATGTAAATAAATAATACACATAATTCTGTAAAATAGGAACGATTGGGAGGGAAGTGACATATATCGCAGAAAATTTAGAGGTTAGGTAGGGTATAAATGGTGGGGTTGTGAAAGTTTGGCGGTCCATTCTCTAATAAGCAGTCTAGGTCTCGTTCGTACTTTCAAACAATAAATAAGTTAATTATATACAGACTTCGTGTTGGTTTATTGTCGACCCTGTCCTCACCTCACAACAGTTGGTTGGGTGACGCTTACCTTGTCATGTTAAAATAAATAGCATGTTATTGAGTTAGTTCGAAGTGAGTTTTCATCCAAGCCCAACGCACTAATTAAAACTGTCGCAAAAGATGTAACATATGTCAATGATGTCAATGAATTTTCATTAAAAGAAAAAGATGTCTAGTGCAGTTTACGAAACTAACGACCGTCACCAATACTTTTTCTGTGTGCGCATTTTTTCTGTTTGCGCTTTTTACTCTTTGCGCTTTTTTTGTTTGCGCTTTTTTCCGTTTGCGATTATACGATGTCAGAATCACATGGTAATTTTCAAATTTCTTAGTTTTTTAACATTTAATATATTTAGTCTGTTATGAATATTTTTTTTAGTATCCCCTTAAAGGCTATTCAATTCTGCACATTTTACAGGTATTTGTAAAGAAATACGTTGAACGATCAAAAAGGCCCGGGAGTTGAATGAGAGATGGGTCAAAATCCGTTACTCGACTGCCGTTGAAAAATCATGTTGGTGATAGTTTTCAATTGGTAAATGAGATATATTGTTTAATATCAACAACTATAAAAATTACACATAATTAGAGGGCTTTAAAATCTACTTTTTAATGGTACCACGCTTATTACTATACGAGCCCTTTTTATTATCGAAACTACGAAGTGAAAAGCTACTAGGCCTATATTTGGGCGACGTGGGCGAAAACAGCATTTTTTACGGCAGTTTGAAATACCTACTATGAGGGAAAGTGAAGTAGACTTCACCTGTTTTGGTGACCTCTGCATATATTGTGGTCAGCACTATGCCTGCTGCCTTTACTTTCCCTAACATAGGTTAGGAAGTCGCATGATTATTGTTTAATCCTATCATTATTGTTTAATCCTATCATTATTGTTTAATCCTGTCATTATTGTTTAATCCTATCATTATTGTTTAATCCTATCATTATTGTTTAATCCTATCATTATTGTTTAATCCTATCATTATTGTTTAATCCTATCATTATTGTTTAATCCTATCATTATTGTTTAACCCTATCATTATTGTTTAATCCTATCATTATTGTTTAACCCTATCATTATTGTTTAACCCTATCATTATTGTTTAACCCTATCATTATTGTTTAACCCTATCATTATAGAGTCCTTGCAAACACGTGACCTAAATCACGTGATACCTACGCCCGCCGCCACAGTGGTGTACATCAGACGTAAACACAATCAGCTGTTCGCCAGCGCTGGACGTGTTCACCAGCGCTGGACGTGTTCACCGTATGTAAAGAATCGCGCCCGCGGAAAAGGAAAAATATGTTAAAAAACTTGAACTCTTAGGAATTGAAGATCCTTATACAGTTATTGACAGTTTCGTGGATAATATAAATATGTGGCCGAAATTTCTAAATAAAAATACTGTTAGTAATACCGTTTGCGTTTAGAGTTTAAGTAGACGAAGCCGATCAAATGCAGTAATATATTATAGGTTATCTACTGTAGCAAACGTGAGACCACTTAACTCCTACAAAACCCACACTACAACGGCTAATATAATCCATGGGTAATAACCAATCTGGGTAGCATGTTATACAATTTAAGACCCTTATAATCCAGCAGGGAAGTAATCAGACACATTAATACTGACGTTCAACCCTCATGATGGCTGCCCCCACCTGTATCTAGCCCACAATAAAACCTAAGAGGAGTCTGCCCTGCCCTCCCCTGAAAATGTCTCACCTCCGTGATACCCAGCCCCACAGAGATAGTATTTCTTATATAATTTTGACCCTCAGGGCCCAGCAGGGAGAACAAAGGGGAAAGTCCCACTGCTCTCCCCTCAACACTTCTCACCTCGGTGTCATGTTATGTCATTTATAGCACACATGGCTTATCAGGGGAAAGCATTAAGGCATTAAGAATCTTAACTCTGGACAGCTACACACCAGTATACTAGCTACACACTAGGTGCCTACTGTAAACTACTAGACTGTAGGCCCTATGTAGACCTGCAATTGTATCAATTGTAGACTGGGTCCATTGTTATTATTCTAAACCATCTCACTTATAATGTTTCTAGCTTGATTTGTTTCTTTTATAAACAGTGGATTTTAAAAAAAAATTAGCCTAATCATTAACCAAATAATAATAATGTGGTTATTTGTTGTTGGCTGGTATGATCTAGATTGTACTACTAGGCTACAAAAACTTAGTAGACCAATTACTAGATATGAATTTGAATTTAATTAAACTCAGTCCAGTATCAGATACATATTGCTGTAAAAAGACAACAAAGTAGGTAGGCCTTAGTAATTTATTAAAGCCTTCTACTACAATAATATCAACTACATGCTTGTATAAAGTTTTTACAATTTAATTTAAGTAGCAGATTCTAGATCTAAGTCTAGTCATACAATCTATTTCAATTTCAGAAAATTTCGTTTGCTAAAAAAATGATTAGATAATAGAGCGATATTTTAGATCTTAGAGACAATTAAATGCTTTATTAGGCCTATTATGACTACTTTTGATTTATTATGGGTGTATTTTGAATCGAATGTAGATCTAAAGTAATTAAATTTAAGTAAAGAAGTAGATTCTAGATTCTATGTCTACCCAGCGGAGCCAGGTATTAGGCCTACTATTAGATCTTATTATTCTTATTATTACTTTTGACTTTGTCTTTTACTATTAGTATTTGTGAAGGTCGAGCATATTTGTTTTATTAATAGTTATCTTTTATAATTAAAATGAAGTTTATTATTTTACTGTCCTTACCTGAAACAAAGTATCGAGAACTGCATTTGATCAGATTCGGCTACTTTAACTCTAAACGCAAACAGTATTACTAACAGTATTTTTATTTAGAAATTTTGTCCACATATTTATTTATACGAAACTGTCAATAACAGTATAAGGATCTTCAATTCCTAAGAGTTCAAGTTTTTTAACGTATTTTTCCTTTTCCGCGGGTGCGGTTCTTTACATACAGTGAACGCGTCCAGCGCTGGTGAACACGTCCAGCGCTGGCGAACAGCTGATTGTGTTTACGTCTGGTGTACACCACTGTGGCGGCGGGCGTAGGTATCACGAACGGACGTGACGTCATATGAAAGGACTCTATTGTTTAACCCTATCATTATTGTTTAATCCTATCATTATTGTTTAACCCTATCATTATTGTTTAATCCTATCATTATAGTTTAATCCTATCATTATTGTTTAAGATGACTTAAAAATTTTTAACTGCATTTGTTTACCTTTTGTTCTGATATTAATTTTAATTATCAAAACAAATCAGTAGCCCAGAAAATGATTTTGAAATAAATGCATTTGTTCCACAGAAGCAAAGATGCTCTAACTATTAATGTGTATTGTTCTCATGCTATGGAGTGTGTTGTCTTCTAGACTTCAAGTAAACTGCTGATGAAATGGGTGGGCTTAGTTGGCTGTAGTCTCAATCAAGTTATTTGTTTGATTTTCTTCAGGATCGGCAACTTTTTTTATTATCAAAATTAGTTTAACACATGGCAGAGCATTTCATTTTCTATTTTTGATCAGTTTTAGGATATAAGGCAGAACATTTCATTTTCTATTTTTGATCAGTTTTAGGATATAAGGCAGAACATTTCATTTTCTATTTTTGATCAGTTTTAGGATATAAGGCAGAGCATTTCATTTTCTATTTTTGATCAGTTTTAGGATATAAGGCAGAGCATTTCATTTTCTATTTCTGACCAAAAGAAAATTAAACAATTTGTTGTGACGGCATGTTATATAATTTATTTTCTGCTCCCTTATATTACTTATACCCAGTGTAAAGAACAAATCTACTGCAGCTAAAAAGTGTTTGGTAAACAATTAACATTCATTTAGGCTGTGAACAGCTTGCCTGACCCATCTGCAGAGGGTGTTGTCAAGCTAGGTTCACAGTAAGTGTTGTCAAGCTAGGTTCACAGTGGGTGTTGTCAAGCTAGGTTCACAGTGGGTGTTGTCAAGCTAGGTTCACAGTGGGTGTTGTCAAGCTAGGTTCACAGTAAGTGTTGTCAAGCTAGGTTCACAGTGGGTGTTGTCAAGCTAGGTTCACAGTAGGTGTTGTCAAGCTAGGTTCACAGTGGGTGTTGTCAAGCTAGGTTCACAGTGGGTGTTTTGTTGTCAAGCTAGGTTCGCAGTAGGTGTTGTCAAGCTAGGTTCACAGTAGGTATTGTCAAGCTAGGTTCACAGTGGGTGTTGTCAAGCTAGGTTCACAGTGGGTGTTGTCAAGCTAGGTTCACAGTGGGTGTTGTCAAGCTAGGTTCACAGTGGGTGTTGTCAAGCTAGGTTCACGGTGGGTGTTGTCAAGCTAGGTTCACAGTGGGTGTTGTCAAGCTAGGTTCACAGTGGGTGTTGTCAAGCTAGGTTCACAGTGGGTGTTGTCAAGCTAGGTTCACAGTGGGTGTTGTCAAGCTAGGTTCACAGTGGGTGTTGTCAAGCTAGGTTCACGGTGGGTGTTGTCAAGCTAGGTTCACAGTGGGTGTTGTCAAGCTAGGTTCACAGTGGGTGTTGTCAAGCTAGGTTCACAGTGGGTGTTGTCAAGCTAGGTTCACGGTGGGTGTTGTCAAGCTAGGTTCACAGTGGGTGTTGTCAAGCTAGGTTCACAGTGGGTGTTGTCAAGCTAGGTTCACGGTGGGTGTTGTCAAGCTAGGTTCACAGTGGGTGTTGTCAAGCTAGGTTCACAGTGGGTGTTGTCAAGCTAGGTTCACAGTGGGTGTTGTCAAGCTAGGTTCACGGTGGGTGTTGTCAAGCTAGGTTCACAGTGGGTGTTGTCAAGCTAGGTTCACAGTGGGTGTTGTCAAGCTAGGTTCACAGTGGGTGTTGAGTAAAAAAAGTGAACTTGTTTTGTTTGTTCAACAGATGCAACAGTGGCACACAAAACTTACTTTCTCGTCTGTGAAGCGAGTGGCTATCCCCTATAACAATCTTCCCATGATGCTCTTTCTAGAAGTAAAATTAAAATTATTTAAAATTGCTATTGGTGAAGACAGTGCCTAAAAAACAGACTCACATCCCACAAAGACACATGTCTAGAGCCCACATAAGACATGTCTAAAAAGCCCACATACGACACATGTCTAAAGCTCACATAAGACACATCTAGAGCCCACATAAGACACATGTCTAGAGCCCACATAACACACATGTCTAGAGCCCACATAAGACACATGTCTAGAGCCCACTTAAGACACATGTCTAGAGCCTACTTAAGACACATGTCTAGAGCCCACATAAGACACATGTCTAGAGCCCACATAAGACACATGTCTAGAGCCCACATAAGACACATGTCTAGAGCCCACATAAGAGTTTAAGACCACATCCAAACAAACACTGTGATTCTAACCTTTAACCTTTAAACTGTTACATGATTTCAAACAAATGTCATATGTTCACTGTCCTCACCTTTGCAGCTCCCAGAAGTCGGAGAAACTTCTCATTGCGATCTTTGTCCCCCAGGTCGGCAGTTTCCCAGCTGTTGGCTGAATGAACCTAAAGAATACTCAATGCATCTTTATTCAATCATCACCTACTAACAATCATTCCAATCAACTGAATTTAAGAAGGACTTGTTACATTCATTTATTACAAGCTTGTTAACTTAGCAGTCATCTTTTAAAAAACTATTTTTTTCTTTATCGAATACAGAGTATTGAGGAAGTATTGTAAGAAAAAAAGAAAATCGAATTGAGATTTTCACAAATCTCGACGTTTTAGACCTCCCTAAGTCGGAAAAACTAAATTTTGTAATCTTGTCTGTGTGTGTCTGTGTGTGTCTGTGAACATGATAACTTGAGTACAGTTAAAGCTAGGTTGATGAAATTTCATATATAACTATTACATCAAATTTGTAGTTCTATATCAACTTTGCAGGAATTTCCGGTAAACGGGTGGAACTTTTTCTACTTTCAGTTGTTCAAAAGCCTATAACTTGAGTAAAAGGTCTAATTCTCTGTTTTCTGTCAAATTTTGAGTAATTTCCGGTGACCGGAAGTAGTACTTTACGCTATTTCTAATTTCTCATAAAACGCACATGAATTTATAAAGTACTAATGTTCCTCACTTTTATGCATGCATTGTTTGCAGTTCACTTGACGCGCATGTCTTTTTTCTATGAGATTCTCTTCTATTTTAACAAGTTAAAGTATGTAAAAATTGATTATAAGCATGTCCATATCCCGAGTTGCCATCCTGCGTAGTATTATATAAGAATATTCGAGAAAATTTGAGGAGATCACTCCCGCTTTATTTTGGGATTTCAGGGGAAACCGTGTTTGGTTTATTATTCAATCATCTATTAATCTACATTTGATACAAGTACATCACAAAAGGCCTGTCTTTAAATTTAAGCCATTTATTAAATTTTTATAATTAATTATTAATAAGCCATCTTTCTTTCACATTTCTATAGTTTCTGATTAAGTAATAAGTTGAAGTATGCCTATAACTATGATATATAGTGACTAATAATATCTATATATAGAATTCTCTTCATGGAGGGACCATGCAGGACACCATGTAAGCACGCTCTCTAGGCATATCGCTACCATCCCACCCCCATCAGTCTGATGAGCTGTGGTTCATGCAAAATGTTTACAATTGTAGAGCTTTGTCAAATTAGTGACGGCTATTAGGGGCAGATAATTTAGTTTTTTAAACTATATGAAACTAAGTTACTAAGGGGAGGTAATATAAAGTTCTGCTTGATCTTTTCATTTTCGTCTGTAAACTAAAATTGTCATCACAGATGGCTGCTTTTACGTTCCCGGAAGGGAGGCTGAGGATAATCATCACACAAGCTACTGTCTAACTGTCGTACTGATAGTGTTTTAAAGCAAAAAAAATATTTTCAGTCACAGCATTGGTAGTGAATTACACTAAGGTAGGCTTTTTGATGAGAATTACAGAATGATTTTTTTTATTAAAAATGTATCAATAATAGCTAGAACACTAGTAAACTAAGCTAATTTAACATATTTTAACTTTCTGTGCAAAGTCATTATTACTGAAAAAAATTCCAAAGTCAGGTCAGCCTGTAGCACTCTCCACTGAACGTGACAGAAGGAAAAAAAACTTCACCTGTGACCTTCATTAAAACAGAATTTGCTTTTTTTTTATTTTTTTATTTTTGGTAAACATGTGCTTAATCTTACCCAACAAGTGATAAAAATTTGAAAATTAATTTTAATTACTGTTGTAAAGTAAGATAAACAGCTTAATAAACACATGCTTTCTTGAGGGGGGGGTGGCCCGGGTGTGGCACATCGCAATTATAACTTTATATTTCTGTGTTTTATGACTATATTTGTTCACAATCAGCATGCTATGTTTTTAAAATTGATAAAGGGTAAGTATACCAAGTTATAAAATCTGCAATCTAACTAATAATATTTTTTAAATTGAAACTAATAATTCATACTTTCAATTTAAAAAATAATAAAAACGATCATCAACGAAGAAAGCGTAAACATTCTATTTTTAGGTGTGACATAAAAAACAGTCATAAATCTTGCCAAATGATTGGATTCTTGCGCGGCAAACATTTTCCCGCGCCTTGTTTTCACCAAACAAGAATATAATAAAATGGCATTATTACTTACACCCTCAAAAGCATTGTTGTCACCCTAATTATATTAAACAATTCTATTTTTATTTGATAGTAAAGATGTTATACAAATTGAATATTACAATAAAGTTATTGAAGAACGCACCTGCTTTAGTTTATTCGACTTGAACCGCAAGCTAAGTAAGCGTGACTTTCTCTCGACGGCCTTGTTAAATACAAATAAAGAAATTAGGTCAAGCTGCCATTATTAAAATGTTAATTATTCGCCCCCGTAAATACATGGGCAGTTTCGAGAAAAAATCTATCCAATTACGATATAATCCTTAGTTTTAACTATCATGTACTTCATAAGAAAGAAATGATTCGATATTTTATATGGCCGCCCAAAACACGGGTGCTTCAAAACCGCGAGAACGAGATTTCATGAATCGAAAAACCTACACTAAGTGTAATTCACAAATTTAAAATAATCATACTGAAAAGTAGAAAATAAAAAAATAAAAAAAATAAATAGCTGCTTAGCAGCATATGCTTATGGGTTACACTTTACAGCGTGTGTCAGCTCGTAAAATATAATCCAATATAATAAACTATCTGACTATCAAGATCCTACAACATTGAACATTGTTTTATATTTTATAACAAATCAAACCTGTTGTTGAAGTAGTTTGCTTTCGTCATGTCCACTTATACTACTTCTGTTACTGTGGTTACGTATGTCCTCAATGCTTTCATTGTCATTATTTGATGAACTCATACTTTTTAGTGCACGAATACTTATTACTTTAAATGTAACTTAAGTCTTAGATTATATTTTCTAGTGTCTAGTCTATGTTGTTTTTAAAATATTGTTACAAATTTTTGCACGATTTTAAAAGAATGATCTGCAATATTTGAATGGCCTCCCTTGGTAACGCTGTATTTTTTTTCGCAATTTATAATTGTTGGAAGACGTTTATTTTATTTTTTTTTTTAAACTAGGTTTAATGTATTTTTAATTAACTACAAATTGATAACTTCAGACACCATTACGTCAGTATGTTAAATTAAAAAAAAAAACAAAGATAAATTCAGTTGAATTGATTAAAAATGTTAGCATAGATTCACAATGGTGTGGGGAGGGGGGGGGGGGGCTTGTGGCGGAGATGGAGTGAACATTGAACAAGTTTTATTTTTAGAAAAATCAATGCCTCTTCTTGACGGATTAATATAGATCTAATGTCTGTACAAATCGTCGTCATTAGGCATAAATGTGGGTCCTAGAGCAAACCATGTATTATCTAACTTATCAGATGTAAGTGCACCGTCCACCTAACGGATATTGGAGTGACAACAAATCGGAAAATTTCAAATTAACATATTCGATGTTGAATCGTGATTGTTACGATGCTGATTAATTGAAAGACTTTCATTCAGCTTTTCATTGACACCAACAAAACTATAAACCAATGGTTCTTGACGTTGTTGTGATCGACCCCCGTGGGTTCGGTAAGTTTCAAGGGTTCGATGGAGGTGAAGATACACCCGACTCAAATGATTCGCGATCAAATTTTGTTAATGCCGACGATAGAGCTTTTAAGAAAGGTTCGGTGAACGCTCGTGTGAAACTGGTGGGGTTCAGTGAATGTGCTTATAAAACTGGTGGGGTTCGGTATCCCCAAAAAGGTTGAGAACCACTGCTATTACTATAAACTAAGAAAATTGGTGTGACCATATTTTTATTTTTTAAATGTGCACATAAATTATGTTTGTTGCCTTGGGGGTTTCCCCCATCTTTTGCTTACTGGTGAGAAATCAAAAGACCAAAAAAATGTTGGATTATCTGGATGAGAGTGTGATTTGCTAAAATTAGTTTTAGAGACTTGAGATTTTTAAATATTTAAAATAGAAGAAAATTTGAAGGCAAGGTTATAACATCTGGGTAGGTTGGGAGCGAAAAATCGTAATCGAGATGTTGATAAATCTGTAGGTTATCGTGCGGCGTCAAAACGGCCAGTGACAAAATGGCCCCGTCAAAACGACCCCGACAAATCGGCCCCCACAAATCGGCCCCGACAAATCGGCCCCGTCAAATTGACCCCGTCAAAAGGGCCAGCGACATATGGACCCCGTCATATAGGCTCCCGGCAAATAGGCTCCCGTCATTTAGGCTACCGAAAAATAGGCTCCCGTTATATAGGCTCCCGACAAAAGTGCTCCAGTCAATAAGGCTCCTGAAAAATAGGCTCCTGTCATTTTGGCTCCCGACATATAGGCTCCCGTCATTTAGTTTTTTTCCACAAAACGGCCCCCGTCATTACGACTCCCGACAAATAGGCTAGCGTCATTTTGGCTCACGACAAAAAGCGGTCTCATTGAATATGACACCTGCCAGTGGTACCCCTTCATCAATATAATTTAGAGTTAGCTTATCCAACACTCTTATGTAATACAACGTATGCATCTCTTGTTCGGCAGGCCTTATTTTTATATTAGTCTATCTATTATAAAATATAGTAAGTTTTAATTTAAGGGTAATCTATCTATGACATCCATAATTGAGTCGGTTATAGGCTGTTCCAACTCAGTGTGTGGGGAGAAGGGTCCACGCAGAGTCGGCGTTTGGGGGTGGCGAACGGGGCGGTCACCCCATGCCCCGCGCCTGAAGGGGCCCCGCGCTTCAGCACCTTCACTGTTATCTGGATTAGTTTGTAAACTTAAATAATTTTTGCTGAATTCACTTGGGAAAAACGAAAAAACGAAATTGTTATAACTGAGGCCCCTGTTGATGCTAATGAGTTATCACCCACATAAACTGGGACAGGCCGTAAATTATAGCGTCACACATCTCCCTGTATGATGGTTACGGTCGCCTCGCATTTGACCTGAGGTGACTGGAGATGGGTGGACTCAAATTACCTCCCGACCTGAGCAGGGAGGAAACCCCGCAATCAGATACCCTATTGTATGCGGCCCGATGAAAACGTTTACGTAGTGAACAGACTTGATGCTTGTAGTAGACAGTTAGTGAACGCTAGTCCTGACTTTCTTGTTGTAGTTGTCGTATATGTAGGCCTACTTGTCTTGGTATAAAAATAATTAACATTCAGTGGCGGGTATAAGGGGTGGGAGAAGGGCATAGGGGCAGGGTGGGGGATCCACATCAGGGGGGGGGGGGGGGATCCAACAGAGTGATTTATTATTTATTGTTTTGGAAGAGAGTAATAGTGTTGTTATGTTGTGTCATCTTAAGTATTCATCCGTTCCCAAACAGAATTATTTATTTACCGAATTCATTCAAATTGTTATATACAATCGTTTTCAATGGTGCTGACATATTATAGTCATCGAATTGTCCGCGTGGCACAACTTTTATGGAGGAATGGGCATCGTTGAAGGGCAGTAATATGGTAGTCATTAATAAACGCACATTTTTTAAAGACCATAGTGATTTTGGTTTAAAAATATTGTATAGATTCTAAAAACATTTTTACGTCTATACTGTTTTGATACATCGGGCCGAGTTCGCTTTATTATTGTAAAGGTGTCCTTATTTCTCACACGTCTAAAGTACCGGCATTCACGGCAGCCCGAACATGCCGTCGGGAAACTCATAAATAAGGTGTAGCTGGCTGTCACGTCGTTTTCTCCCTAATTATAGTAACGAACCCTCTCTTGTGAGACAGCGATCATGGCCTGTAATGTAATACGTGGACGCTCTATAAACACAAACCTTCTCCGGTCAGAGATCCAGTAACGTAGTACTCGAATTAGGAGATTTTTTTTCTTAGGGTTTGGCAACCCAAGGCATAGATTTAACTGCCACCCACCCCAAAGCTCCACCCTACATTTGAGAATCATTTCTTTTGGATATCCATAAACATAGAGTGGGTTTTCACGATTCGTAACCAGATTTAATTCATGATTCGAGCTAAGTCCAAAAGCTATCGTTTTTCTATTAGTTTTAACTTTAATTACTTTTGCTTTGTTGATATTGTAATTTGTCTCTTTTTTACAAGCTTTTATTTAACTCACTTGACTTTTATATTAACTATTGGTCATTAACAAACATTTTAAACAACTTTGTCCTAATGTTTTGGCATGTAATTGAATTTCCTTGAGTGTTTGGTATGGATTTCATAAATGTCAAAAGGGATTAAATATCTTAGCAAAAAAAAAAAATCATAAAAAACGTTTTAATAACAAGCTTTTCTGTAATGATGCACTAAAAAGTAGAAAATAAATTATAGACTACTATTTAAATAACTATAAAGAAAAGCGTGGGTCACTTTAGTATCTATTGGATACCTTTACTAATGTTAAGGAAGACACCCACGCTTTTCTTTACAGTTATTTAAATAGTAGTCTATAATTTATTTTCTACTTTTTAGTGCATTGTTACATAAAAGCTTGTTATTAAAACGTTTTTTATGAATTTTTTTCAGTACTTTACATGTTTTATTTACAATAGAGTTACATGACTAAACACCATTGCGCGCCTACTGAACATCACGTTCAGTAGGCGCGCAATTGTTTTTGAACGCAGCCATTACGTGATGGCGCAGCTATTGAAGGTGATGACGCGTGTGGTGTGGTTGGCTAGACATGCCTACTAATTCGGTCCAAATTTTAATTAATTCATAAAAAATCAATTAGGCATCCAATTAAGTCAAATTTAGATTCAGATTGCATTGTCTTCATGTCTTGACCCACGTGCCAACTGTGAATCGTATCGGTCAAGTAGAACTGTCCGAATTTTCACTCCTGCGTTTCCGTCTAGACTGACGACTGACGAGGAAGTGAGTTAAATAAAAGCTTGTAAAAACAAAACAAAAAAAATCATAAAAAACGTTTTAATAACAAGCTTTTATGTAATGATGCACTAAAAAGTAGAAAATAAATTATAGACTACTATTTAAATAACTATAAAGAAAAGCGTGTGTCACTTTAGTATCTATTGGATACCTTTACTAATGTTAAGGAAGACACCCACGCTTTTCTTTACAGTTATTTAAATAGTAGTCTATAATTTATTTTCTACTTTTTAGTGCATTGTTACATAAAAGCTTGTTATTAAAACGTTTTTTATGAATTTTTTTTTCAGTACTTTACATTTTTTATTTACAATAGAGTTACATGACTAAAAACCATTGCGCGCCTACTGAACATCGCATTCAGTAGGCGCGCAATGGTTTTTGAACGCAGCCATTACGTGATGGCGCAGCTATTGAAGGTGATGACACGTGTGGTGTGGTTGGCTAGATATGCCTACTAATTCGGTCCAAATTTTAATTAATTCATTAAAAATCAATTAGGCATCCAATTAAGTCAAATTTAGTTTCAGATTGCATTGTCTTCATGTCTTGACCCACGTGCCAACTGTGAATCGTATCGGTCAAGTAGAACTGTCCGAATTTTCACTCCTGCGTTTCCGTCTAGTCTGACGACTGACGAGGAAGTGAGTTAAATAAAAGCTTGTAAAAACAAAACAAAAAAAATCATAAAAAACGTTTTAATAACAAGCTTTTATGTAATGATGCACTAAAAAGTAGAAAATAAATTATAGACTACTATTTAAATAACTATAAAGAAAAGCGTGGGTCACTTTAGTATCTATTGGATACCTTTACTAATGTTAAGGAAGACACCCACGCTTTTCTTTATAGTTATTTAAATAGTAGTCTATAATTTATTTTCTACTTTTTAGTGCATCATTACATAAAAGCTTGTTATTAAAACGTTTTTTTATGAATTTTTTTTCAGTACTTTACATGTTTTATTTACAATAGAGTTACATGACTAAAAACCATTGCGCGCCTACTGAACATCACGTTCAGTAGGCGCGCAATGGTTTTTGAACGCAGCCATTACGTGATGGCGCAGCTATTGAAGGTGATGACGCGTGTGGTGTGGTTGGCTAGACATGCCTACTAATTCGGTCCAAATTTTTATTAATTCATAAAAAAATTAATTAGGCATCCAATTAAGTCAAATTTAGTTTCAGATTGCATTGTCTTCATGTCTTGACCCACGTGCCAACTGTGAATCGTATCGGTCAAGTAGAACTGTCCGAATTTTCACTCCTGCGTTTCCGTCTAGACAGACTGACGACAGAGGAAGTGAGTTAAATAAAAGCTTGTAAAAAAATTCATAAAAAACGTTTTAATAACAAGCTTTTATGTAACAATGCACTAAAAAGTAGAAAATAAATTATAGACTACTATTTAAATAACTATAAAGAAAAGCGTGTGTCACTTTAGTATCTATTGGATACCTTTACTAATGTTAAGGAAGACACCCACGCTTTTCTTTACAGTTATTTAAATAGTAGTCTATAATTTATTTTCTACTTTTTAGTGCATTGTTACATAAAAGCTTGTTATTAAAACGTTTTTTATGAATTTTTTTTTCAGTACTTTACATTTTTTATTTACAATAGAGTTACATGACTAAAAACCATTGCGCGCCTACTGAACATCGCATTCAGTAGGCGCGCAATGGTTTTTGAACGCAGCTATTACGTGATGGCGCAGCTATTGAAGGTGATGACACGTGTGGTGTGGTTGGCTAGACATGCCTACTAATTCGGTCCAAATTTTAATTAATTCATTAAAAATCAATTAAGCATCCAATTAAGTCAAATTTAGTTTCAGATTGCATTGTCTTCATGTCTTGACCCACGTGCCAAATGTGAATCGTATCGGTCAAGTAGAAGTTTCCGAATTTTCACTCCTGCGTTTCCATCTAGACTGACGACTTGCGACTGACGACTGGCGACAGACAGAGGAAGTGAGTTAAATAAAATCCTACACTGTTATTAAAGTGAGAAGTTTGGCATTAGCTTATAGACTCCAAAATATTTAGCTGTTATTATGTGTGCTAGTATAATATATATATATATATATATATATATATATATATATATATATATATATATATATATATATATATATATATATATATATATATATAGGCTATTTATATAATGGAAAAAAGCAGGCCCCGCGCGGATGGTTGTCACAAGGCCCCGCGTATTCCTAACGTCGGCTCTGGGTCCACGCTGTACCTTCCTACCTGCAGGATGCTTGTAGGTTATCAAAACAAAATGCTGTTATCATCTAAACATCATGTATATCATACATTTACACTTCTGTGCTCGCTTTTAAGCAACAGATATTTTCTGTTGTAAATTAAACATTATCAAAACTTTAGAATTGATGGAATTTAGCTGTTAACGGCTCGATTTGTTTGTGAATTAATGTTGGTTCATGAAAAACAATTTCATTCGGGCATTTAAAAGAGTTTATAGTGGTATTGGAGGTAGGACAAAATGGTTACTTTTATGCCAATAGTGGTCATGCCATTCATTGGTCTGGAGCCAATATGTCGGGAGTCATTTTGTCAAAAGCCAATATGTCGGGAGCCAAATTGCCGGGAGCCAATATGTCGGGAGCCCATTTGTCGGTAGCCAATATTTCGTGAGCCCATTTGTCTGGAGCCAATATGTCCTGAGCCTATTTGTCAGGGGTTAATTTGTCGGGAGCTTAAATATCGGGAGCCCATTTGTCGGGAGCCTATATGTCGCAAGTCAATATGATGGGAGCCTATTTGACTGGAGCCAATAAGTCGGGGCCCTTTTGACGGGGCTATTTTGACTGGGTCTAAAATCTTGTCTGAACTCTGTTAACATAACGAATGTTAATAAATTCCTGATAGAATGTATTAAAGCTGTTTTTTAAACGCGAAATAACGGCTAAAATTCGTTTTCTAACATTGCTTTTTTATAATGCAAAATAATGCACTAATTAAATTGCCCTTAAGATGCGTTATCCTTTTAAAAAAACCATTAGTATTGTCAAAAAGAAAAAAGCCTGATCTGAGTTTCGAGGGTAGTTTTTAAGAATGGTTTGGTTAATGCGCATGTGAAACTAGTGGTGTTCGATACCTCCAAAAAGATTAAGAACCACTGCTTTAGAGGGTGTAGTTTGTAGAAGGTGCAAGCTTATTTGATCCACTTTTGGTCGTGTATTTAGAACCATTTCGAAACTAGTATATTACAATTTTAAATTATCAGTTAGAATAAACATACAAAGCAGTAGCAGTCGTCGTGTTATACCAGTATTACTTCGTTTAGTATGTTTAGTGTGCTTAACTAGGCCTATATGAAAATTGCAGTATTAGGACTTGTTATAAAACAAGTAATAAAAAAATGATCTATGCGGTACATTATATTAATTTTCTAGTAAACATCTGTGTTAGGTCATTTTAAATATATAAAGCCTAGTTATATTCCTTTTAGTTCTTAAAATTCCTACCAACGAGCAGAGGCGTAGTGAGGGGGGGGGGGGGGGGGGGGGGGTCGCGGACCTCACCGGGTGACACCATTTAGGGGGGGGGTGACTCTAAGGCAAAAAATAGCAAAATATATAGAGAAAAATGATAATTCCACTTAATTAAGTGATTAATTCGAGTGTTAAATAGTGTTTTAAGAGGTGCAAATCGAAAATTTGAGGGGGGGGGGGGGGGGGGATGTGCAAATCACAAGTTTGGGGGGGGGGGGGGTGCAAATCGAAAATTGAAACTTTGTCCCCGGAAAGGGTCGTTACGCCTCTGGGGGTGACACCATTAAGTGCAGCACCGGGTGACACCCGACCTTGCTACGCAACTGCCAACGAGTATCACCTTCCACCCACCCGCTTCCGACTGTATGATATTCAATTTATTTATTTATTCAATTTATTCAATAACGGTAACAATAACTGATCATATAGCGATACAAAAATCCGTGATGATTATTTCTATTTAATACAGAGGATCCAGGCAAAATGTAACACAATCAAGTAAAAGTATCTGATCTTTCACGTTGAAGTTGAGAGAATTGCAAGAATCGTACTAAGAACTAGTCGCGTCATTTCTTAACAAAACTGGCAAGTGAAATCGTAAATTACTCGTTAATACTATATTTATACAATAGGCGTGGCTTCGCGGCCGAGTGTCACCGGTGCGGCACCTCATGGTGTCAGTCCCCTTTTTTTTTACTGTAAATTGTGCAGTTGTTTTCACCCCCCCCCCGTCAAAAATTTTACAATTCTCCATAATTAAATACAAATATTTCTTAAAATATTTGTGTGACTTTTTCCTGTGACTTTTTTTTCTGTGACTTTTTCTACAATAATTACGAAAACGAAATATGCGAATTTATTTTAAAAATAGATTTATGGTTGTCATGCGCATGAAAAGTTCAATCCATTTCCTTTTCCGTGTAAACTTCAAAATGGTAGGTTAAAGAAATAACTACGTAAAATTAAAATCCTTACAATCGTACATAGATATTCACCGCCAGGGTTTAAGTTCGTGAGAAAATGTATTTATGATGTGTAAATCTGCATTATGAATTCCATTATTAATAATTAAAGTGGTAAAAAAAAGAATCCCACATATCTTTTAGGGCCTAACAAGAATTGCGTTCGTCGCTAGCTCATTTGTTTACGTGCACAATGGTATTTTACTTAATACTATTTCCTCTAAAAAATAAGCATGTCATGCCTGCAATTATTCTGGAATCTAGATCTATAGTTTAGTCAGTATTGTGACTTTTCAATTATTGATAAAAATATAGAATAGGCTTAAGCCTAATAATTTATAATTAGATCTAGATTATGGATGTAGTGAAGTTCCACAACCTATCACACATAGCGGAAAATGCCGAGCTCCCGACTTTCATCGGGAGCTATTTTGTTTCAGACAGAAACAAACTGAAAGTACTATATTACTCCTCTGCCATTCTACTCTAATATTAGCCCGGCTAAAAAAAAATATTGTCATTCAAAAGCCATCTTTTATTTTAAAAAGTGGTTAGCAATATTTGATTTCGGGGTAATCTATCGTTTTGGGTACGTAAAATCGCACGCGACTTGGGTAAAAATTTAGAGAAAATCCTTGATATTTCATAGTATCCGCCGCCAACCAAACGAGTGCTTTCAACGCGTTTTGGTTGACGGCTTACGGCACGTGACCCGTAAACACAGCGTTTTTGGAGCTAAAAAGGGCCGAAAAAGCCATTTTTTCTATGTGTAGTTATTAGTAGTTATTTGACTATCCATAATTTCAATTTGTATTTCAAAGATTTATAATGAGTGGGATGCACTCGGTGTTTTAAATTCGGTAGCTGTTACTTTGTGCATAACATTGACAGCATCCCAATAGTTCACCGACGAGATTCCCATTGCCAAGCAATCGTATGATAGACCCAGCAAGCATCACTCGTTAAATTCGACATGACTATACCAGTCCTTGATTTTCAGTACAGCCTTGAAACGCCTAGTTCTTGGTTTAAAATAAAAGCGTCTCCCCACTCCCCGCTTGCGCCGACAACGTCATCATTGGCCAATACCACGGTGCATTTTTTTTTAACGAGTATAACACAAATCCCCCTCACAGCAAGCGCCAACGTCACCCAAGGCCAATAACACGCACCACGGTGGATTTTTTTTTTCAATGAGTATCTACCCACCCGCCGCCTTACAGCATACCGCTAATCTTTACAAACTGGGTTAAAAGTTTGAGTTCAAGAAGGGGAGAGGGTGGTATTAAAACTACGATGTTCTTTAATATGTTTAATAGTACAAATACATAGTAAAAAATTATACTAACCTACTTCTATAGCATCATACATAATTTTATAAATTAGCAAATTAGGCCTAATTAACTAATTAATTAAATCTAATGATAATGAAGGGAGATAGTTTATTTTGGTTAAGGCACGACACACAACACTATGCGTGTGTGGTATGTGGTCTGACTGACCGAGAAGAGATTGTTTATATTATTGTTTTGAGTTTATATTTAACTCAATGCAACGAGCCGGTTGGTTGAGGCCACGCCGGGGGGGGGGGGGGCGGGACGTTCTGACCGGGATTCCAAGGGTCGATTCTAAATATTATCCGCGACTTGTAATGTGAAAACAGGTGACTCCTTAAATTTTAATAATTTCACATTTTGAGGAGGATTTATGTTTTTTAAAATACAAAAATGTTTCCTTGTTTCATTTATGTACCTGTTTTTAAACAAATGAATTAAAACTTTTCCGTAATAAATGAAGACTAGTGATGTTTCCATCAGATGCAACCATGCTTATTTAGTAATATTTACTATAGCAGCCATCTTTTTTAAGTTTTATTTTTATGAGTTTTTAGCGCAAGATTCAGGGGGAAGCCACTCTATTTTACAAATGGCTGCTGTTTATATAGCAAATCTTGCTCTCAGACACTGCTGTTTAAAGTTATTTTCTGGCCTATATTGATGTATTTAGTCATTGAGGGGAGGGGTTAAGTCACTTAACACTGGGATATGGCTATAATTGCTACTGCTAGGCTTAATAAGTTTCTCTATAGCAAAGGTCTAAATTTATTATTTTACCAAGTGAATTAACTCTCACTATTTCAGTAAACATTGATTTGAAAACAGCAGTGCAAACATATACTTGATTAACATTTTTAACACGTTTTTATTAACTCAGCTTCGCGTGTGTTTGTTTGTTGTTAAAATTGACATCGAAAATTAGCCCACTTCTGATTGCTCTATAGATCTGAAATTTGGCATGCAGGCTACTTTCGCCTAACAATTTCAGATGCAATCATAAAAACTAGCAATTAGAGACCGTAATTAGCTTAATTTAATTACGCCCTAAGGACCATCGGGCAGATGGGTCGGGAAATTTGATGGTGAACGTACCCACGTTTTTTGTCATCAAATGTATGTAAATAGTTATTTTCTACTTTTTAGTCCACAAGAAAAACGTGGTTTTTTAAAAAGTTTTTTTTACGTATTTTATTAAATTAGTTTATTGCTGGATTTTTTTATAAAAAGCTCCTTTTATGCTGAAGTAGGCCTATTGAATTATACAGTCGAAGTTAAGAAAATAAACGGGGCTACAAGACACGACTCTACTCACTGATCTTTATCTACCTCAATTGTGTGGCACAAAGATAAAAACTGTTGTGGGATACTGACTGGTAAAAAGTGCCACCAAATTTTCCTGATGGGGAGGGGAAATGGCAATTTTATGAATAACACCTTATAAATGGGAGGTGTAAGGCGCAAAATTGAATCTACTTCAACTCAACTAAAGGTTTAGAAAGTTACTTTTTAAAAATTACAAATGCTATGCTACATAGCATTTTATAAAGACCACTTCCTATTCGAGAAATGTCAAAACTTCCTTCCATTCAGGGCGGGGTGAATCGTTAAATTATGTCCTGAAATTTTTGTTTTTCTCCTGAAAAACTGGAATTTTAAGTTCACTTTGGTGTAGGAACCCTGTACATAGACTTATAAACCTATTAGTTCTACAGACTTCAATTCATTTTTGTACTCCTCAGGTTGATATTAAAAAAGTTCTAGTATTTTTAACGAAACCAACTTTTAAATTTAGCCTTCTTTTTCCGATGCAAATTTTGAAATGCTTTTCTGGCATATTTAGCCCTGCCACCTATAGTTTGTTGTTATAACGTGAAAACCTCGCCATTTTGCTCGTTGTTAACATTTTAAATATTAATTTGTAGAAGGTCACTGGAATTTTGACGACAAATCGTTGGAAGTCATGCGTGTGGTCCAGACGCCATATTGTTGTTAGCAACCAACTACGCCTCCAAGTTAGCGAGTAATACTACAATTTAATGTTGGCCTAGATCTAGTTTCAGTGTTTTATTTCAACACCTAAGAATCTAGATCTAGTCTAGTACTTGTAAAAAGACAGTACAGTGTCAGTACTACTAGATCTAGCTAAATCAAACTGCCCTTTAGTAAATTGTTTTTTATAGCTATCTAACTTGCCTGATAGTCTAATGTGAATCTGACAGTGTCTTGTGTGTGAAAAATTACCATACATATTTTTTAATAAGGGGGTCTTCCATAGAAATGTCACTCGTAATAGTGTGTTGTCATACTTTTGTATTGTTAAAAAGTAATGTTAGAAACATAATTCTAGCGTTTTAGAAAATTGTTTAAATTAAATATTTTTGGGGAAAAAAAATTGTTTAAAAAATTTGATATTGAGGTTGTTGGCTAGCTTTTGTGACGGGTGGTGGGAGGTAAAAATTAATAATAGTGACATCATGACCCCTTACAGTCCACAGCTATTCCATAAGCATAAATAAAAATGTGGCTTGGCTATCAAAGTGGTAAATTTGGTTCAAATGTCAGATCCTTTTTGATTTCAGCTAATCTGGTAGATTTCTTTTTCCATCATATGAACCAAAACTTTCAAATTACAAGTAATCTAAATCTAGGCTCTTTACAGTTGGAGACTTCAGTTTTACCGTGCCAATCTTTAAATGAAGATAGGGCATAATTTAATTGTAGAAGTTGACTAGATTAGTAGTTTAAATTAGCTTAATGTTTAAAAAATTGTGATTGCCACTTTTATGACATAGTAAAAGAATAAATAAATTTGAAAGTTGTTTATAAGGTAAACAAATTGAGATTCAAGACTTTCAATGTTATTTTAGATTAACTTTAACTTCTTTAATTTAAATATTAACTAAATTAAACAATTAATTTTCAGGTGAACGTTCCAAAACAAAGACGCACCTTCTGCAAGGGCAAGAAATGCAAAAAGCACACAATACATAAAGTTACTCAGTACAAAGCAGGAAAGGCTTCTTTGTATGCCCAAGGTAATTATTAGCCTGTCTCCTGTTTGACCAGTGGATAAAATTTCCGTGTTTGCCAAATGATAAAATTGAACAATTAAGCATGCTGGATATCATTTTTGTCGCTTAGGTATTTTTACAGTTGCAGCCCTTACCGTATGCACATGAGTGAATGGTGAATTTCCAATTCACTGCTTGAAATAATCATTGTTGTGACCTGATGTAACTTGTTTTCCTAGTTGACATATGGAAGTGACATAAAGTTTATACATTCAATTTGAAGCTGTAGTCTTTGTCTGTTACATAGTAAATTTTAGCAGGCTACCTTTTTTCTGGACTGAGCTAACCTTTATAAATGAGTCTCTGGCCTTTGATAATCCGACATTGTGGACCTCTTGGTTATGACCCTTTGTATACTTCACTTCATCTTGTATTATAGAGGAATTTCTGAATAAAATGTATTTATCTTGGACGCAGGAGTTTAGTATTTATGCTCATGTTAACTGTATCTAGCTGAATGCAACAATTAACTTGGCAAATAGATCCAAACCAGATTAAAAACTCCCAAATACCAGCTCTTACTATGTTTGTAAAGAAATGTACAAAGTTAATGTCGCCCAGAATCTCTATTGCGCTGTTAACAATAACTAGAATCATTAAATGATTGCCCAGTAGCAAATTATCTTTGTGAAAAATCTGTTTTTTCTATCGTTGAACTGATTAAAAATTGTCTGTGTTCCTGTTTCCTTCTCACTGAATTTTGAGAATTGGGGCACAAATAGTTTAATTGAACGGCTTTTTAAAACAATAATAAGTGGAAAGCACATTTGAATAGCACTTTCAGTTTTATTTTAGATATTAGCAGTAGGTATTAATTACAATTCGCTAGAGCTGAATAATACATATGGAGTTTAGACTATTTTATTAACCAAAAAGTTAAGTTTAGAACATTTCTTATAGGTAAAAGACGTTATGACCGAAAGCAGAGCGGTTATGGTGGTCAGTCCAAGCCAGTTTTTAGAAAGAAGGCAAGTACTCTTTTCTCCATTATTATTCTAAAAAGATACATTTAAAATTTTCAGTTTTGTTGGCATAATACAGGGGTGACACTATTCCGGGATATCCCGGATTTCCGGATTCGAGAATCATATTTTTTTCCCTTTCCGGATTCGCAAGATTTGAGTTTGAAAATTTCCGGGTTTGCATTAAGCTTGAAAATTTTGGCATTGTAAAAATCGTTTTTATCGCCAACACTCCCGCTAATGGCCTTTTCCGAAACAAAAATGAATAGTAAATGACGTCAGCAACAATCTCACGCGTGCGCCAAGGACCAAATACAAATGGGCTGTATCAGATGGGTGAGGCTGTAGAAGGAACTTTTTGAAGTCATTCGTGGTGTGGCTATTTATGACGATATGGGTTGGGGTTAAACTTGCATTATTTACGTGATGTCATCAATGGGATACCGCTAGGCTGTGTAATAAAAACAACTAAATCCTACCATTACTAGCATCGCCGATCGTCTTTAAAAAAAAAACAACCGAAAGATTTTGCTCCGATCAAAAAAAATAAAAAATTGTGTATTTGGTATTACCAAAAGAAAAGAAAAAAACTATTTGGAGGACTATTTTATGTATGAAATAGAACTGTGCTGTTTTCACTCAACTTTACCGTCACTTTTTACCACCTCTTACCCGCTTCTTCAAGGTCGCGCTGACCGTAAGACCTACGTCACGAGACCACGCAAACACAGTCTGAGTCGTGTCTCTCGGTCAAGGCAGTTCTACAAGCACAAGCGCTGATTAATTTTAACGTGGTTATTTTTAATTAGGGCCTACTTATAGATTCAAGAAAAAAAAAACTAGAACTGCATCGTTTTATATCATTAAACAAAATATGTAGGCCTGCTATAATTTAGTTACACAATCTAGCAGGGTCTACATCTAATTGTTTTTTTTTTTTTTTTACTTTGGTAAAACGTCATTGAAATGTTTAAAAAATCTTGTAGTACAGTGTCTGAGAAAATAGCCGCTATCACTTCCCCCTCTGAACCGCTTGTAAAAAAAATCCGCTTTTCACTTAGTCGGGCGGCTACATCTCTGACATGAGTATTACTAGCGTAGAAAATTATTTTTAAAATTAACTTAATTCTGTTATTCCGCGATGTGAACTTAAAACTTCCACGATATTTCTTCACGTCATCATGTATATAAAAGGTGGGGGCATTGGGGTCGTTCATAAATGACGTCACACTCGTAGGGGGAGGGGGGTCCGTAATTTTGTCATGAGGGGGAGGGGTTCAGATGGTGTGACATCACACTTTTGCATTATCCAAAAGCTATGTTAGAAATCGAATTTTAGCCGTTATTTCGCGGTCAAGAATATTGTTTCAATAAAGTGTAATAGGAATTGATTAAAATACTATATGTTGACAGAGGTCAGACAAGATTTTTGGCAAAATATCGTATTTTAAGAAAAATTCGACTGCAATTTTTAGGGGGGGGGGGGGGGGGTAGGCTGAGGCGTGACGTCATTTTAGAGGGTGGGGTCTGGCTTTTTGTGACGATATGTGACCGAGGGGAGGTGGGAGGTTAAAATCGTCAAAAAAGCGTGACATCATTTATGGATGACCTCATTAGTGTTGATTGGGAAAACAGGGTTTAAGGTTTTTGTTGTGGCTGTTAATAATTAAAGCCTTGAATAGCTACAGTAAGTCAACCCTGTATTTTAATACAGTGACAATCTTATTAGGGGTCTGCATATAGTGGGCTTATTATTCAACAACAAGACATAGAGGTTAGCAAAATAATTGTTACTTAACAGTTGGCTGACTACACACTTTAACTCAAGCTAGGAAGTTCTAAAAAATTAAATAGTTATGTTATAAAAGCTGGCTGGGGGGGGGGGGGAGTTCTACAATAGCACATTATCGGGTAGGCCTAGAGATGGGACTAACATTGTAAACTAATTTTGTTGTAAGCACAATCCTTTAAAGATTATTTTTTATTTGAAGCTTGTTACAAAGAAAATAAATCCATTTTAAAGGAATGTAAATTGAACATAATATGAATCAAATGTCTCAAAAATAATGAAATATTAGTCCATTTTATTTTGAAATCCCGCGCGGAATTAAGTTTCAGGGTTTCAAAAATTTCAAATTTTAGTTTCAGGATTGGTTAAATTTTGGGATTCATTTTCAGGATTCACTTAGAAAATGAGTGGCACCCCTGCATAATATTTTAACAAGTTGGATGGTCTCTTTTTTTATAGCAAACAGAGCTTCATTTTGAAAGGCGATTTTTGTCGACCTTTTTTCATTAACCATTAATGACCCATTCATTTACCATAACACCACCCTTGACGGCCCAATGTAAGGAGCATAACTCTGTATGATCAAGTGAACAGTTTCGCTAAATATTTGTTTTTGTCTAAATGAAATTGAAAATTAAGATAAAAAGTACTTCTTAATGTTGGGAATAAACCTGGCTTTCCAACAGTATTAAATAGAATATATTATATTCGGTACAAATACAGTATAAAAATAAAAATATTTCAGAGAAAATCCAAAACAAGTCATTTTCGGTGGGCAACTTTATTTTTGTTTAAACAACTATGCATCGAATTTTACAGTTAGATATAAATTTGGTTATGTTTAAGATATATAATTCATAAAATACATGCCTAAATACGTTTATAGGCATGATTTTATTTTATTTTTAATATTAAATCAACTTAAAATAGGACAGATGAGTCTAAAATTTCGAGATAGAAAGAAGCTAATATTTTGTATCTTTCAAAATCGCCATTGAAATTAAAGACCGTAAAAGTATGCTGAAACTATCCAACTTCTTGTTTAGTTAAAAAAAAGGGTCATCAATGGTTAAAGACTTTTACTTTATGCTTACTGCCATGAAAAAGATCTGAATTTAAAATTGATAATCATAGTAACTATTTAAGCTGCAACAAAGACCAGAATTGTCTAGTCATCCTTCTCTTGTCACTAGCAAATAAATAAGTTTCTTTATTTTCAAATTTATGGAAACCGTTTTCATTGATAGATGTTTTCTAAGAAAATATTCGCTCCTGTTATAAAAATCAAAGCTCATGTAATCTTTGAAAATGATGGTACATAATTCCGGGAGGAAAATTATTTTAAAAATTATTTCCCTAGAACCAACATTCTCATGAAGATGAAAAGGTTAATAGCAGCATTATTCAGTGGTTATGAATTTAGTCATTTCATTACAGCATGCTGAATCCCCAATTTCAGAATCACCATACAATGAAAAAAAACCAATTAGATTAAGAAACACAGATTTTTTAAAAATCAAACAAATGTTGGGGGTCCCTTAACTTTGTTGAGGATCTGGGGAAGGAGTTAAAGATGTGATTTAGTAACTGGTTTTTTTTTTATTTGGTGTAGGCAGCCTTGACATAAAAAATGTCAAAACAGGGTTTTGAAATAAATAGTTGTAAAAAATAAAGTAGCTTTGACACTAACACTTGGCGGAATTTGTGCTGCTTCTGTTAAAGATTGTTACAGAATAGTTCAATGGTATATGGCATTCGTTTACTTAGCCGTTTACCGTCCGATGTGTCAAAGCTATTTTACTTGCCCAATGGCCCGACAAGGAGGCAACACATTTTTCAACCACTGCACGTTTTTTTTTTTTAATATAAAAGAAAGCGTTATACACAAAATTGGTCTAAGTTAATTAATGAGGTTAATAAATAGCATAATATACTAATAATAAATAAAAATTACACTAATCACAAGATGTAAATAACAGGGTTCGTGCGGCCTCCTGAAATTCCAGGAGGTCCTGGAAAACTCCTGGAATCTTAAAAAACGTAAAAATCTCCTGGAATTCTCCTGGAATTTGAAAAAATATAAAAACCTCCTGGAATTCTCCTGAAATTTTAAAAATTCTAATGAAATCTCATGAAATTTTATTAACCCGCGGCGCAAAACCCGACCGAAATTATTTGATTTTGTTCCGCCAATAATTGAATAGTAGTTTTTAAATGGGACGAAAATTAAAATAAACGCATCGGCCGTTGTCCGACTGAATCGCACTGCCGTGATCTACACATCGTGTGGCACAGCCGAGTGTGTGGTCACGTGACGCTAGGCGATTGACCCGATTGGATGATACTATAAACAAATTCTAAAGATAGATAGGCCTACATGTGTTCCCGTGTTCGACTTGTCGGCTATTGGATTTTTAAAGTAGACAGGCATGTTTCATAACTTTGTCTTAAACTATTGAAACAGCAAAAAAAAAAAGTTGTAGTAGTACTTACGGCTCAGGACTAATCATCAAAATTAATCTTCTTTAGAAATTAACCCGGATAGCTGCGACCCAATCAAACAATGCCGATTCGCGTAACGTATCATTGTCATTATTTTATTTTATACATTATACATTAATTTTTCGTAAAAATGGATTTAGAAAATAAATTAAATTTTTCCAGTGGCTCTTTTTTTCGGTTGACTAAAAATTGTTAATACGCTTAATACTAGCTTGCCAAATCTACTAAAATGGGCTGGGGTGGGTGGAGTAAGACACTGACCATCCTACACGGTATGTAACTTCCAACGTAACATCCATAGCTCAACCCGCCCCCACTACTCCGTGCCGTGACGCGACAAGCTGACGATCGTCGCCTTTGATGTTGTGTAACACTCGTACGGTGGTTTCATACCCCACCTCCCTTCCCCCTTCATTTTGTGGAGTTGATGTTACTAATCCTCGGGCATAGATCAAGAAATCTTGCCAGACTTTTGTCTCCGAAATTACATAATATTCGTCTGACACGTTCATCGGGTTGGCCGACTAGCCTAGCATCATTGGATTTGGCATCCAAAAATCAATAAAATATCACGAAATGATATTAATTGGTGAAGTCTGCTTGCATTTATACCTCTTTTATAGTGAAAACTCTTTAAAATTTGGTCCATACCCTCCCAGTATTTTTTCTCTTTCAGGGTCTATACCGGTTGTCTGAAAAATCTATTTTGTTTATGGTCAGATTTTGAAAATTCAAACTGGTCTGTAGTCAGATTTAGCCTCTATCCTAATATGTAACTAATATAGTTTTACTTTTACTGAAATTAAATTTTGCATTGGCTTAGCTAATTAAATGTATTATTAAGTACGCTTTTTTTTTAAATGTACAAATTGGGTTTCTTTTTTGTTTTTAAAATCTCCTTGAATTTTTTTTAAACTCCTGGAAAAGTCCTGGAAAACTCCTGGAATTTTATTTGAACTTTTGAGCATGAACCCTGAAATAAACAGCAAATTATAATAGTTGTATAATTTTTATTTAAAGTGCTAAAACAAATTTCAACATATTCACTTTTTCAATAGTTACATTATCAATAAAGCCTGATTCAAAGGCTGAGGTATTTTATTTAGATTTGATTCCGCTACTTAAATTGCCAGTTATTTAAAATATCTCGACTCTAATAAAAAAAATTGTAGAAAATAAACCACTCGCGATAGAACAAGAAAACAAATTCAATTAAACTTATTTTCAACTACTACTAGAATTAACATAGCAGATTAATTTCACCTATTATATTTTTAGGCTAAAACTACCAGAAAAATTGTCCTTCGTATGGAGTGCACTGAATGTAAATATAGGAAACAATTACCAATCAAGCGCTGCAAACACTTTGAGTTAGGAGGAGACAAGAAAAGAAAGGTAATTATTATTAATTGACCGCAATGCATTGATATTTGCTTTAATTAGTGCTTCTATTTATTGTAGACACCTTTTTGAGTTAGGTTTACTGTTGTATACTCTACAAGCTATGAGTAATCCCTTCTGATGTACAATTTCTTTCTAATTTCAGGGACAGATGGTTATGTTTTAAGATAAATAAAATCTGGACAATTGAAGTCTTTGTTTTTGTTGTGTGACCTGATTGCAAGCTTGACTACTTGGTTTTAATGCAGCCTTGCGTATATGATCAAAATTGCAGTTTGAAAAGTAGCATTTTTCTTATTGTTGTAGGTGGTTAAAAAAACCTTGATTACAATATTACATACACATTTATTTCTACATGAAAACGCCAGTTTTTATTAGGCTGTGGGTGAGAACGGCTCATTATTTTTGCCTACAACGTTATATCAAAGCAGGGTTGGTTCATAGGATCTTTTTTAATGAACCCTAGAGTAATACCTGTTTCCCTGTTAGAGTAAAAATTTGAACCCCTACCCGGGCATTCAAGTTCAAACCAAAACTATCCTTTGCATACTTATAGGTATGTTAAACGGTGGTTCATTTCATAGTTTCGATAATAAAAATTAAAAAGGGCTCGAATAGTAATAAGCTTGGTACCATTAAAGAGTAGATTTTAAGCTCTAATCAATGTGTAATTTTTATAGTTATTACACATATCTCATTTACTAAAACTCACCCAGATTATTTTTCAACGGCAGTCAAGTAACTGGCCTTTTTTTGACCGTTCAAGTTCAACGTATTTCTTTACAAATGCCTGTAAATGTAAAATGTGCAGAATTGAATAGCCTTTCGTGGGATACTAAACAAATAAAATGCGTAAGACAAAATATTTTAAATGTTAAAAAAAACGAAGAAATTTTTAAAATTAACTTGTGATTCTGACGTATACATTTTTAGTTAGCATTTTCAGACAGGTGGTCCTTTTTTTCTTTTTAAAGCACTAGAACTAAACTGTTTATCATTTCTGAGCATGCTGGCGTGTGGGCAAAAATGGCCGAACTCAACAAAACACTTTAGCGATCACTAAAATAGCTCTAAGGCCGGTCGAAGAAAATGGCATTTTTCTTTAACAACGCACCAACTTTTCTAAAATGACGTTAGCAAGTTTTAGATGCTTGATAGGTCAATAAAATAAATAAAAACATGTAGCTACTTGATAAAAAAGTTTGAGTATAGTTTTTATATGTAAATTTTTTCAGTATCTTTCCCCGGCGACTGGGTGTAATCGACCCGAAGTCGCTATATTTTTGCGAGTCATATCTCGAGTCTCGTTTTATAAACTTTTCTGGGCCTCATTCCCATCTATAAGGTGGTTGGGATGAACACATTGGAGGTTGTAAATTTTAAAAATATGCGTAAAAAATTTTTTTATACGCTCCCTGGCAACTGGGTTTTACACACCCGTACACAATTTCGAATGGGAAAAAATATTTTTAACTTATAAACTGGCTTCTAAATATTTGTTTTTACTCATTGTGGGTTAAGTCATTGTGTTAAATTTTCAAAGTTTAACTATAAAATAATCTGAAGGTATTTGAGTAACAAAAATATCAAACAGGATTGAAGTAATCAACTTTAGTAATAAAATAATAGAACAGTAGAACCTTTTAATAATTTGCACCTCAGAGAGCACAGTTGTTAGATAAAATTAAAATAACTGGACATATCCTTTTGCTGGCAGGGAACTTTATTTTTCTTTGACAAAATATGGGCACCCTTTTAGTGGTGTTACATGAGTCACAGGCCCAAAATATTTTAATTCCATACTTATCGGAATTGCTTGGTATGTATTGAATAAATCTACTCCCACCTCTGAAATCAACCAGTTGCCCAATTAGTAATGATTTCTCTAGAAACATAACACCCTGCTAAATTTGAATGGAATATCTACCATAATGGAAGCAAATATACCATGAGCTGTTGTGTTATTGTTGTGAAAGTTAATATGGCCCAGAAGGTTGCTGAATCTCTTCATAGAAAATTCTGCCTTCAAAAACTTCCATAAGCAGAACTGAATTGACATACAACTAAATTGTTATTCTGCAGAGTGCTAGTGTCTCCTCTTGCTTTCTCTCCATCCCTGCTAATGCAGTCAAATATTGGTTGTATAATTATTTGTATTCATGTACAGAAGAAATATTTTGAGTCAGGTTGTTTATATATAACTAGGGATAGCACTTCAGGCAGTGGTCTAGTATACTGTTACTTTGTCTTTCCTGCAAATATTTCTTTTTCTTTGCACCAAATTTCATTTCATTATGAGTGCCAACTGTTGACACATTGATAGTTGAAATGCAGTATATTGGGTAGACCTCTTCATCAGAGCTGCTTGAAACTGAACCAAGATTATCTTCTACCTCTGATACTGATGGCTGCCATTCTTCATCTTCTACCTCTGATAATGATGGCTGCCATTCTTCATCTTCTACCTCTGATACTGATGACTGCAATTCTTCATCTTCTACCTCTGATGGCTGCCATTCTTCATCTTCTACCTCTGATGGCTGCCATTCTTCATCTTCTACCTCTGATGGCTGCCATTCTTCATCTTCTACCTCTGATAATGATGGCTGCCATTCTTCATCTTCTACCTCTGATACTGATGGCTGCCATTCTTCATCTTCTACCTCTGATACTGATGACTGCAATTCTTCATCTTCTACCTCTGATACTGATGACTGCAATTCTTCATCTTCTACCTCTGATACTGATGGCTGCCATTCTTCATCTTCTACCTCTGATACTGATGGCTGCCATTCTTCATCTTCTACCTCTGATAATGATGGCTGCCATTCTTCATCTTCTACCTCTGATAATGATGGCTGCCATTCTTCATCTTCTACCTCTGATGGCTGCCATTCTTCATCTTCTACCTCTGATAATGATGGCTGCCATTCTTCATCTTCTACCTCTGATGGCTGCCATTCTTCATCTTCTACCTCTGATAATGATGGCTGCCATTCTTCATCTTCTACCTCTGATAATGATGGCTGCCATTCTTCATCTTCTACCTCTGATACTGATGACTGCAATTCTTCATCTTTTACCTCTGATACTGATGGCTGCCATTCTTCATCTTCTACCTCTGATAATGATGGCTGCCATTCTTCATCTTCTACCTCTGATAATGATGGCTGCCATTCTTCATCTTCTACCTCTGATGGCTGCCATTCTTCATCTTCTACCTCTGATAATGATGGCTGCCATTCTTCATCTTCTACCTCTGATAATGATGGCTGCCATTCTTCATCTTCTACCTCTGATACTGATGGCTGCCATTCTTCATCTTCTACCTCTGATAATGATGGCTGCCATTCTTCATCTTCTACCTCTGATACTGATGACTGCAATTCTTCATCTTTTACCTCTGATACTGATGGCTGCCATTCTTCATCTTCTACCTCTGATAATGATGGCTGCCATTCTTCATCTTCTACCTCTGATACTGATGGCTGCCATTCTTCATCTTCTACCTCTGATGGCTGCCATTCTTCATCTTCTACCTCTGATGGCTGCCATTCTTCATCTTCTACCTCTGATACTGATGGCTGCCATTCTTCATCTTCTACCTCTGATACTGATGGCTGCCATTCTTCATCTTCTACCTCTGATACTGATGGCTGCCATTCTTCATCTTCTACCTCTGATACTGATGGCTGCCATTCTTCATCTTCTACCTCTGATACTGATAGTTCAGACTCAAAACTTATTGGTAATTTTCACCTGCTATACTAAAACTGGCAAATATATTCCTTTATCATTAGCACTTGAGTTTAGACAAAAGCGTTCAAGACTTGTTTCTGTTGTGTTCTCAATAACGTTTATGACTATTTATAAACCTTGCTCTCAGGGTCACTGCCTGTAGAACACCCACCCCACTCCTAGTTTGATCAATTCATTGCCCAGTATCACCTTTCAAGCAGCATTACAAAGTTATTTTGCCTTTTTGTCTTCATTCGTACTCCTAATGGGGTTAATGTCAAGTTACTCTAAAATGCTGACTGTCTCTGTCTACATTCCAGAGCTCCCTAAAAGAGTACAAATCACCATATATGTCCTCCCACAGGCAATCTTACCCCTGCATTTCATTACCCTATTGTAACTCTAAACTACAGTTCTGTCTGTAACTGCAAGTCAGAGCTCCATCAAAGAGTATAAATCACTATTGTGTCCACCCACAGGTTAACTCTTGCTTGAGATTCCATCAACCTGTAGTATCATATTACAGCTCTCCTATTGACAATAACATGTCTTGGGTTCCCCATGGCCACAATGCCCTGAATACCTTAACTGTGTCAGTTTGTTACCCACCCCACAATGAACAAAGAAAAGAATTTACTATAAAAAGTGTCCGGGTGTGATCCACCCAGTTGCCGGGGACAGGGTACCAAATATGTTGCCGGGGAAAGGGGCTGTACTATAACTCCGTTCAATGATTAGACTTCCACGTAATTTTTCAGCTTCGTCCGATGGACTAAACCCCACTTTACTTTGTATCGGAGTCTAATTTTTTTTTCTAAATTTTAGCGCAATTTCCATACTGACAATTGCGATTATTAACTCGTTATTTCTGGATGGATGAATGGATGTGTGTCCGCAGCTTTACAAGTCGTATCTCCTCCTCAACGAAGCAATATCGAGGACTAGTTCCAAAAGCAAATATGTTAAGCAAGTTCCGAGGATGATTGTGGGCCAAAAAAATTCCCGGAATTCCTTCCTAGATTTCCCTGAAAAGCCAAAAAAACCTCGAAAAAAATGCAGTTTTTGGCCCATATCTCGACAACCAGACCACTTCGCGACTTGAAACATTTACCAATCGATTCCTGCCATAATTTAGAACAATATTGCTGAAGAAAGTTTTCAAAAATATCCTTTCGTTCGGTCACAAAATTTTTAAAAAAATTACATAAACACCTACAAACCGATCGTTCTCCTAGCTTAGTTGAACGCACCCCAGCATAATTATACGTCTTTGTGATCACTATCTATTTTTAGATAACATAAGGAAATTGCGCTTAAATTGTCACTAGACTTTTTATTAACTTGTTTTATGATAGCTTAGTTCAAATATTTTTGTCTTTTCTGACAGAGGGTACTTTGAAAATTAATTATAATTCAAATTTTTCTATTCTTTTTAGAATAGCTGAATATTTTTTTTCTGTTAAATATAAATGTGAAAGGTCAATTGATCGTACACTTTGTCGCCAGTGTCAACAACATATATAAAAAAAAAGTAAAGTTTCCCTTTCAAACCTGACGGTCTATGGGGCAAGTGAAGTAGAGTTCACTTGTTTCTGTGACCTCGGCATATGTAGAGATAGTGTGGTCAGCACTATGCCCAGCCGCCTTTGCTTTCCCTAACGTGAGTTAGGTACCCATCAGAGTTGGGTGGACTCAGGGATGGTCTACTGACTTTAACCCGGATTCGAACTCGAGACTTACGGGTTAGCAGTCCAGCTCTCTACCGTTAGACCACTCCGTCCCCGTCAACAACATATGGGAATAGTTAAAGTAGAGAAACCCCAGCGATGATTAAATCTAAATAGTGCATGATGTGTAGCTTGAAATGATAGTAAAGTTCCACGCGCGGATAAAACCCGAGTGCGGCCATCGCCTGTTTATCGCTTCGTACAATATTTGTTTTGATGTTTTATATGAAACTACTGATATCTGCTGTAAACCTGTCCATTTCTAAATATATCCAGGTCAAATTCTTTTGTTTTTCTCCTTCTGGAAGTCGAGTTTTTAAAGTTTCGAGGTATGACGTCGTAGGCGATTCTAGTTCCCCGTATGAAAAACACTAGGTCCCGCATGAGATGAATAAACCAACCAATCAAAGCTTTTTATAACTAGGTTAACTATAAATAGCTTCTACAATATGTGCGGGACACTGTACATATGATAGATAAGGCTAATAAAGCAACCTGATAGGTGAATAGGGGTGGCCGCAGCTTGGGTAACGATTTGGGTAGTTTTACCTCGCTGCGTAACCAACGACTTGAGGTAGACTAGCCTAGTTCTAGAAGTGTAGAAGCTCTACATTTCAAGCTAAGCCTAGAATCTGTATAATTTCTATTTTTTTCTGCTGTTTTAAATTATTTCGATCATCTACTTCACTTCTTCTAAATCTAGTTTGTGTCTCTACCAGTATTT